AGTTGACTAGAGGGAACCAGAGAGAATTAAGGATTACAATTAAAGGAGAAGAGATCTATTAATACAATGGAGCACTATTATCTGACTATAGAAGAAATTAAGGCTGTCTGGGAACAATGTACTCAGAAATTACTTTCAAGATTATCTGCCACTATAAAAATGGATCTAACAGAGGCTACAGAAGAGGAAAGATTTTACTGGACAAAATAGACACTGAGGCTGACTTGAATGTGGATTTCGAAAATGGATTTTAAAAAAAATGCCAGACTACAAGAGTGATATGGAAAAAAGACAATGTGGATTTGAAAACGGATTTAAAAATGACATTATAAGAGAGATATGGAAAAGATGCCACAATGGATTTACAAATGAAACTCATGTTTTAGTAACTAAAGGAGACATATAAATAATAAATCAGAAGAGTGACTTGGATAGCCTCTTATCTTGAACTTGCAAAAGGGACATGTTAAATTACTGAAGCTGTTGCTGAGAGGAGACAAAGAGGAAATGATAAGAAATCAACTTGTGGGATATTACTTGCCAGAATTAAAGATCAAGCTTTTTAAAAGTAAACGGAAGGACTATAAAGTAAATTTATTTGATCAGGGTTGAAATATATGTGTTGTGGTTGCTAGTAGCTATTAATGGATTTTCTTCTTGATCAGGACTGAATGATGAGGATTTGAAGATTTATTTATAAATGGGGAGAGATTTCTTTTGTTTTATTACTCAGAGAAAGTGATAAGTTGGAATACAAAATGGATTTATTTGATTAAGGTTAAAATATATATGTTATTATTGAGGATTTGAAGATTTATTTATAAATGGGGAGAGATTTCTTTTGTTTTATTACTCAGAGAAAGTGATAAGTTGGAATACAAAATGGATTTATTTGATTAAGGTTAAAATATATATGTTATTATTTCTGGTAGTTCTTAATGGACTTTTGCTGAATAGGGCTGAATGATGAGTTTTTATAATTTGTTTATTGATAAGAGATGAGATATGGGAAGAAGAGATCTTTTTTATTATTGAAATACTAGAGAAAATGTTAAGTTACTGGTTGTTTATACTTGTCTGGAGGGAGGGAGGAGTCTTTTTTTTACATATTTC